ATAACTGCTGGACAATAACCAATAATAATGATTTGTTTATATACTACAAACACTTTTGTATCACATAATAATGCAGAATAGTTTCTATACTGTAATAAATGCTATGTCAATTAGCACTGCATTGTTCATATACTTTATTTATTACCTGGAGATGACTTGACAAACACAAATAAACCATATTGTCGCAATCGTATGTTTAAAGTCTTCATGTTTCCAAACCTTTCTGTTTTTCTGAAAACAACTGTTTTCATACAGTGATAGCTGGACGCTTTTGTCCATATTAGGAATTTCCTCATACGACTTTCTGCTTGCGAGAGCGCCCTCCGGCTTCAAGTATGAATGAAACATACACTGCACGTGTATTAGCGCAGTGTTTAGCGCTCCGCGATGTTCATCTCACCTTATTCTGGGTCCAAATAAAACATCAGATCATGCACAGACTATCCTGTCTCTTTGAATTTAAATCTATATTTATTCACACCGGCTCTTGAAAACCTCTATGCGAACACACTTGCCCGAAAAAGTGCGGGGGATGAATTTACGTGATATTAAAAGTGAGGGGGACACGTCCCCCGCGTAATCTACGCCCCTGGGGATGGGTATCGTTTACATTTTATCGATACCGATACCGATACTGCTGATGTGAAAAGTTGTTACACATTTCAAGTTATTTTATTACTGCTGAATTTTAGCAACTGTATTAAAGTTCTTCAGTCAAGAGAAGCGAGTTATTTTTCTCTTTGCGTTTTATTATGAAAATTGTCATCATTTACTCACTCTCAAGTTGTTTTAAACCTGAATGAGTTTCTTTCTTCTGTTGAACATAAAAGTTATTTTGAAGAATGTGGGAAACCAAACAGTTGCTGGTCCACAGTGACTTTCATATTTCCTTTTCCTACTATCAGTCAGTGGGGACCAGCAACTGTTTGGTTACCCACATTCTTCAAAATATCTTCTTTTGTGTTCAGCACAAGAAAGAAATTAATGCAGGTTTGGTACAACATGACAGTGAGTAAATAATGACAGAATTGTAATTTTTGGGTGAACTGTCCCTTTAATGACAATCGGCAGCATGTTCAGTGCTGTTGCTTTAAGAGCTGCAAGCATCTGTTTTTCTCTCAACTGTTTACTTTCACTTTAGACATAAGTTAACTAACTGTGTGTGTGTGTATGTAAACCTTGTGTGTTTTTGAGAGTATTAGCGCAATCAGTAATCAGGTGCTGTTTGACCGGCCTTTTAGTGTACGCACGCTTCAGGTGTACATGCTCTGAATAAGTGCAGGTCAGAACAGCACGCAAATAAAACGTTTAACCGGCAAGGTTTTGAAGCACACGCAAATAATGTACTTTTGTAATTGCGAATAAGTGCAGTGTCTCGTGAGTGTAACTCTACCGCTGAATTAACATTTGATGTGGATGTGAATGTGTTGCGCGAGTTGCAGTTGGAGCTGGAGCTGGAGCCGGAGCCGGTGTTACGGTTAAACTGGTGACCAACTTCCTGTTTCAGGTCTCCGCTCCAGATGATGGAACGACCGCAGCAGATTCGCCGATTCTGAAAGCACAAACTGATGTGATATTAAGCTGTCTAATAAACGCACAGTTGCTCATTACATGATTTTGTTATTCTTGTAAAGATTTCAAATGATTGGTGTGATCGCCCGTAGCGGCTTCAGTACGGCTTAAGTACGGAAATTAAACGAAAATGTCTGTTTGGCACGGGTTTCGAATACACGCTGAAAGACGCCGCGCCGTGAGACGCCAGTAATGAACCACTGAGCCACCGAACTGCTGCACTGGTTAAGCCCGAGCGGCAACCTCCTGCTCTCTCTCGCGAAGCCAACAAGGAAGTGACTTAAAACTGTAATTCGTCAACTGGCCGCTAGAGGCGTGGTTTGAGCAGCCTGCAGGAGGGCGCGAGGATTGGAATTGGGAACCGCTGATGTAACCTATTGTAATGTTGTCTCTGGTGTTCTGGTCTGTGAACGTAAATGCGTTCAGGGGGCGTGGCCTTGGATTGCAGGGAGGGTGGGACGTCCGCTTTCAGTACTATCAGGCTAAAGTTAGCATTTTCCAAGATGTCCTACTGCACCTTTAAATGTAAGACTTTAAAAAATGCAAAAGGTAAAAAGCCCCTTGAAATCATTTTACAGGGGCAAATATTGCCTCCTAGTGGAAAACTTTGTCACTGCTATGAAACGCAAAGAATATGCAGAATATGAAAAGCTTTAGGAGTCAGCTCTCTATGACAGTGACAGTGTACTAGCACCAAAAAAAAACACTCTGCAAAATAATGTCGATTATCATTATACAAAAACCCAGGAAATAATGGAGATGTTGTTTTTTTGTTATTATCACACACCCCTACTCAGGACTATATTTAAATTTCATTGAGAAAAGTGTCTTTATCACAAGTGGGTTTGAATGAAGAAGTTGAAAAGTAAGAAGGCTTGTTGACATCAGCAGAAAAGGAAAGTTGTTTCAGAGGTGGAGCAAGTTATTACATTTTGATCACATTTTATGAAGTAAAATTTTGATTTCATGTTGACTTTATTGATAACCATCCTTATTTCTTTTTTTTTTTTTATTGCATTGCGAAGAACATACACAATCAATGCCAGGGGTACATACAATTGAGAGTACAAATGCAGGTTACAAAATCAGG